ACAAACAAACAAAGAATACAGAGAGACAAACAAAGGAGACAGCAGGCAAACAAAGGAGATAAACAAGCAAATAAACAAACAAACAAGCACAGAGACAAACAAACAAACAAATAAATAAACAAACAAACAAACAAACAAACAAACAAACAAACGAGATAAATGAACAAACAAAGAGACAGGCAAACAAGAAAAAGAAATAAAAAGCAAAGGAGACAGAAAAAGGAGACAAATAAATAAGACAGACATTGAGTTGATCTAAGTAAGAAAAGAGACAGGGCACCTTCCGCCTCTGCAGCAGCTGTCTGCGTATACACCGCAAACCCCACACAATAAATGCATTTAAAGCAGCAACTACTTCGCCAGCAACAATTTATCGAGGCCCCCTTTCATTAGCATGCAAACAAATGCAGCAGCAGCAGCAGCAGCAGTAGCAGCAGCAACACCCGCGCCCGAACTCCTCCAGCGCATGCAGCAGCAACAATAGCAACAGCAGCAGCAAAACCAATAGCAGCAACAGAAAAAGCAGCGACAGCAGCAAAACCACCCGTAGCAGCAAAAGCATCAGCAAAAGCAGCAAACCCAGCAGCAGCAGCAGCAAACCCAGCAGCAGCAGCAGCAAACCCAGCAGCAGCAGCAGCAGGGTGTCTACCTATTATGCTGATTGATATGCAGCATCAGAGCAACGCCAATTGGGTCCGTGGAGTTTTGCAGCAAACATCGAAGTGTAGACACAAAAAAAGAAGTTGTTTTATTAAAGACATCCGCGAACAAAGTCTGATACTGCATATCTAAACCTAACGTACAGCAGCAGCAACAGCAGCAAACAATCATATTAAATCAAATGCAACAAATGCAACAAATGCAGCAGCAGCAGCACCAGCAGCACATACAGAAGCAACAGAAACAGCACATGCAGCAGCAGCACATGCAGCAGCAGCAGCACATGCAGCAGCAGCAGCACATGCAGCAGCAGCAGCAACAGCACATGCAGCAGCAGCAGCAACTGCAGCAGCAATAGATGATGATGATGATCACAGGAGATAAAGAGAAAAACAAAGCAGCGCAAAATCGTCTCTTAAATGTGCTTCTTCTGCAGCATCAGCTGCCGCTGCTGCTGCTGGTGCTGCTGCTGCAGCAACAGCACATGCAGCAGCAGCAGCAAGTGCTGCTGCTGCAGCAGGGGCTTTGTTTTACCTGCATTTAGAAAGAACTCTGTAAGAAATATTAATTCAGTTGTGGCTGTGTCTACCAGCAGCTTCTGATGCGACCTGCAAAACAAAAAAAAATAAAACTTAAGTGCATGCATGCATGCACAGCAGCAGCAGCAGTAACAGCAGCAAAAGGAGAAGCAGCAGCAGCAGCAAAACAGCAGTAGCAGCAGCAGCTGTGTCTATGTGTGCTGCAGCTGTGCTGGGGTGTATATGCATCTACGAGTGCATGCGGTGTGAGGAGACACCTGAATAGTTGTTCGTAGTAAAGCACTTGGGGCCTGCCGCTCCTTGCTGCTGCTGACGCAGCTCCAGCAGCAGCAGCATCATCAGCAGCAGCAGAAGGAGCAGCAGCAGGAGCAGGAGCAGCAGCAGCAGCAGATCCTTCGTGAGAAAGAGATTTAAAAAAAGAGAAACCAGAAAAAGAAGCAGTTGCTGCTTTTGCTGCACCCTCAGCAGGAAGAAGCGCTACCAGCGGCTCCGCATTTAACTCCGATAAGATGCTGTCTCTTGTCCCCAAACTGCAGCAGCAGCAGCAACAGCAGCAGCAGCAGCAACAGCAGCAACAGCAGTAGCAGTAGCAGCAACAGCAGCATTAGCAGCAGCAACAGCAGTAAAAACGGCAGCAGCAACAGCAACAGCAACAGCAAAAGTAACAGCAGCAGCAACAGCAGCAGCAGCAACAGCAACAGCAGCAGCAACAGCAGCAGCAAGGAGATTGAATGATGTCTCGGTTGGCTGATTTGAGGTGTACGTACACCGCAACTAAGCGCATTTACTTCAAACAAAGTGAAGTGTATAGACAGCAAAAGGAGACAATTAAAAAACAAAGAAGAGACACTTAAAAATAAAAAGGAGACAGCAAATAAACAAAGAGGAGACAATAAATGAGCAAAAAGGAGACAGTAAAAGACAAAAGGAGACACTGAAAGACAGAGAAGAGACAATAAAATAACGAAAAGGAGACAATTAAAAAGCAAGGAAGAGACACTTAAAAACAAAAACAAAGAGGAGACAGCAAATAAACAAAGAGGAGACAACAAATAAACAAAGAGGAGACAATTAAAAACTAGAGGGAGACAACAAAAGATAGAGAGGAGACAATAAAATAACGAAAAGGAGACCATTAAAAAAGCAAAAAAGAGACAGTAATAAGAACAAAAGGAGACACTAAAAGACAGACAGGAGACAATAAAAGAACAAAGAGGAGACATCAAAACCACAATCAAGAAGGAGACAGTTTCTAAATAGAAAAAGGAGAGACAGACGACTGCAGCCCTCTACCTGCTGAGTAGAGCAGAGGAGTTCTGCTGAAGGTTGCTGCTGCTGTTGCTGCTGCTGCTGCCGAGCCGAGCAAGAAACCCGACAACTTGTTTAGCGGAAGCAACGAGAGAACCCTAAAAGCAAATACAGATGCAAAGAGACAAGACAAAAGGAGACAGTTGCAGACAAAAGGAGACAGCAAGAAAAAAACAAACAGAGACACAGCATGGGGCTAAAATAGAGATAAAAAGATATAAAAGGAGACAATAAGACAAAGAAGAGACAGACAGAGAGACAAAAAGAGATAGTATGATAGAAAAGGAGACACAAGGAGAGAGAGAAGAATTAATGAAGATAAAGAAAAGACAAGGAGACAAAGAGAGGCGAAAGGAGAGGCAAACAAAGATTGATAGAGATAATAATGATAGAAATAAAACAGAAGGAGACAGAGCAAAGACAGTAAAGACTAAAGGAGATAAAAGGAGACAAGGTTGTAAAAGGAGACAGCAAAAGAAGTAAAGCGATGAGACAAAACAGCAGAAAGGAGACAAATATATTTTATTATGCTTCCTTACTCTTCCATCTGCATCTATATCCTGCTGCTGCGTCTCCGGGCTTGCTGCATTGCCCCCAACCTGCTGCTGCTGCTGCTGCTGCTGCTGTTGCTGCTGCTGTTGCTGCTGTTGCTGCTGCTGCTGTGTCTGCATCATCATGTTGAGCAGCTGAGCATGATATGTTTTGAATAGAGTTGCGTATACACCCGAAATCGTGCGAGTGTATGCAGCAACAACAGCAGCAGCAGAAGAAGGAGACTGCTCTGCTAAGAAGACAAACAAATCTTTATGTTTTAATAGCTCTCCTCGCTGTAAAATATATATGTTTGCATGCGGCCGTCGAAGAAGAGACAGTTTAAATAATAAATAATTTACTATTCTTTCTGCTGCAGTGTCTCTTAAGCGATATAACTCAGGCAAGCACATTTGCTGCAGGAAGGAGACACCCAAACAAAATATATAATATTATATAGTATTATATAATATTGTATAATATAATATTAATATAGGGGCTATTAAAGTCAGTGCATGCAAACAAAAACAAATAGAAACAACCAAACAAACAGGAGGAGACAGAAATAATTAAAAGGAGACAAAAGGAGACACTCAGAGACGCGAGGAGACAGCAAAAGACAGCTGAAGACAAAAAAAGTAAAACAACAGACAAAAAAGAGAGACAGAGAGGAGACAGAAAGGAGACAGACGGAGACAAAAAAGAGACAAAGAAGAAGAGAGAGACAGTGAAGAGACAGAAAGGAGACAGGAGGAGACAGGAGGACACACAAGATATATATATATATATACACGGAGACAGAAAGACAGATAAAAATAAACAAAATGAAGCAGAAATAAACAAAAAGAATTAACAAATAAACATAAAAGGAGACAAATAAACATAAAAAGAGACAAAAGGAGACAGGAAAAGAGACAAATAAACATAAAAAGAGACAAAAGGAGACAGAAAAAGAGACAAATAAATATAAAAAGAGACAAAAGGAGACAGAAAGAGAGACAGAGATAGAAGGATAACGGGCGATAGGAGGAGACAGCAGTAGAGAGACGAGAGAGACATAAAGAGAGACAAAAGATAAAAAAATAAATAAATAAAATGAAGAAATAAATAAAGATAATAAATAATAGAGTAGATAATACTTACAACGCTCTTCCGCTCCTTCATCCCTGGTTGCTGTGCATGCTCTATCTTTTTTGCTAAGTGTTTAAGAGCCTGAAGAAAGGGTTTAGTGTTTTCATTTAGATTTGTTTTACAGATAGCAGCAACAAGTCCTCTTGTTACTGCTATTTGATCTAGATATGTTGATAACAGCAAACATATTTCTTGTCTATTATTAGCCTTCGTAGCAAGAGATAAACTCGTAGCTGCAACTGCTTCTGTCCCTCCGCCAGACAGCCCCAAATCATGACAAAGAAACTTTAGAGTCTCCTCTAAACTAGTTAGCAAGTCTTCGCTTGCATGCACCGCTTCATTTAGAGACAGCATGTCTGGGCAGCTCTCTGCGTACGCCTGAATAAACAAATAAATAAATAAATCAATTAATAAATAAATAAATAAAATAAATAAATAATATAAATAAATGAATGCATGCATTTGTATATATAAGCGAACAAACAAGCAAACAAATAAAGAAACAAATAAATAAACAAACAAACAAACAAACAAATAAACAGTAACAGACACTAATAACGCTGTCGCTAACACTAACGCTAGGGGCCCCCCCTAGAGGGGGCCCCTAACGGGGGTCTCTAGAGGGGCCCCTTGGGGGGTACCCCTAAGGGAGGGCCCCTCTGGGGGCCCCTAGGGGGGTACCCCTAAGGGAGGGCCCCTCTGGGGGCCCCTAGGGGGGCCCCTAGCGGCTGGCCCTTATGGGGGTTCCTTGGGGGCCCCCTAGAGGGGCCCTTAACAGGGCTCCTAGGGGGTCTTTAGGGGGGCCCTTAGGGGGGGCCCCTAAGGGGGCCCCTAAGAAGGCTCCTGAGGGGGCCCCTTGAGAAGACGCACCTGGAGGGCCTGCTGTTCGTGGGCTGCGAGGATGGTGTCTACAGAGCAGGAGAGACGCTTTAAATTCAGAGGAGGAGGCGGTGGAGGCAAGAGCTGTTGTAGTTGCTGCTGTTCTGCTGCTGCTGCATGTTGCTGCTGCTGCTGCTGCTGCTGCTGGAGAGCAGCAGGAGAGTAGAGAGGTGAAGAGACAGAAGAAGAAGAAGGCAGACGAAGTGCTACTGCGAGTCTTGGGTCATAGCGAAATCTATTTAGAGCTGCAGATACACCTGAGTAATCAATACTCAAAAACTCTCTTGTCTTCTTTGCTAGATCGCTGTCTCCGCCTTCTTTTTCTTCTTTATCTACACCAACACCACCTCCTTCCTTCTCCTTGCATGCACTGCATGCATCAGAGCATGCACAACATGAAGCAGAACAAGGGGGGCCCCCTGTACACCCGCAGCATTCTCTGGGGGCCCCCAAGGAAGAGGCCCCTTCAGGGGCCCCTAAGCTGGTCCCTGAGGAGGCCCCCAATGTGGGGGCCCCCTGGGGGGCCCCTAGGGGGGCCCCTTCTGAGGCCCCTAGGGGGGCCCCTTCTGGGGCCCCTAAGAGGGCCCCTTGGGGGGCCCCTAAGGGGGCCCCTTGGGGGGCCCTTGCAATTGAAAGGAGGCCTCCGGGACCGCTGATGATTTCTGTTTCACGCATGCCTGTAGAGATCATGGGGGGACTTTGAATGCCCCCCCTATGGTGCCCCCAGCTAGGGTTTAGGGTTTAGGGTTTAGGGTTTAGTGTTCAGGGTTTAGGGTTTAGGGTTTAGGGTTTGAAGGGTTTAGTTTAGTTTGGTGGGTTGATTTGTATGGTTTGTTTGTTTGCTGCTGCTGCTGAGAGAGACAGCTGCTGCAGCTTTCTATGCATCAATAAGAAAGTGTGTTTATATTCTTCTTTGTTAGGTGTAATAGACAGAGACAGAGCAGTACAGAGACCCATACTCTTAATGCTTTTATATGCAGATTATCAAAAGGAGACAGCTCGTTACAGACAGAGACAGAACCCCCCAAGAGAAGCAGCAGCAATGACAGGCAGACCACCGGCAGCAGCAGTAGCAGCAGCAGCAGCAATCAGAGGGGCCCCCGGGGGCCCCTGGCGGCCTGTCTGCTGTGTCTATTGATTTTGCTGCGTGTGTTTGTGTCTGTGTTTTCCTTTTTGTTTCTGTTTATATAATTTGTTTGTATTTATTTAAATTAAAAACTCTTTATAATGCTCCAGAGAGCTGTACATACACCTGAGCTGACGTCGGCTAGGGGGGCCTCCTCAGCCTTTATATGAAGACAACTGCTGCGATCCCTTTGCTGTTACACTTTAAGTTATTAAATAAATTTATATTTTTATTTATTTATTTATTTATTACTATTATCTTGACCCTGCTCTCTCTTTGCTGCAGCAATTATTTTTTATTTATTTAGAGACGAAGGGGGGAATCGAACGCGGGACCTGCGGCCTACAACTCCGTACACCAGCCCTTGTATACCTGTCTTTCCCAGCTAGCTAGCTGTTTCTGCTGCAGCTAGCTAGCTGTTTCTGCTGCAGCTGGCTAGCTGTCTCTGCTGCAGCTGGCTAGCTGTCTCTGCTGCAGCTGGCTAGCTGTCTCTGCTGCAGCAGGAAGCAAGCAGCAGGTTATCTTTGTCTTTGTCTCTTTCTTAGCATCTGAGTGTCTCCTTGTGCTGCTGCTTTTTCTGTCCCTTCTTTAAGGGCCTCCTCAGCGCTTCTGTTTGCTGGGGCCTCTGGTAGCAGCAAAGTGTCTCCTTTCAGCAACAAAGTGTCTCCTTTCAGCAGCAAAGTGTTTCCTTTCAGCAGCAAAGTGTCTCCCTTCAGCAGCAAAGTGTCTCCTTGTAGCAGGAGCAAAGTAGCTCTTTAGAGCGGCAATAGGAGAAGCAGCAGCAAACTGTCTCTGTACAACAGCAGCAGCAAACTGTCTCGTTAGAGCAGGAGCAAAGTGTCTCCTCCCTGCAGCAGCAAAGCATCTCCTTTTAGCAGCAGCAGCAGAGTGTCTCCCCTCAGCAGCAGCAGAGTGCCTCCTCGCAGCAGCAACAAAGTGTCTGCTTACAGCAGCAGCAACAAAGTGTCTCCTTACAGCAGCAGCAGCAACACTAGCAGCAACAGCAGCAGCAGTAAAGTGTCTCCTTACAGCAGGAGCAGCAGGAGTGTGTCTCCTCTGAGCAGTAGCAGCAGCAGCAGAGTGTCTCCTCTCAGCAGCAGCAGCAGCAGCAGCAGCAAAGTGTCCCCATGGGAGCGAAGGCCTCTACCCCTGAGGGAAGGCGAATAGAGCCTCCTCCCCCCTTTGCTTTACCTTGTCAACCTTCAGAGTTTATTGAAGGAGACAGTTTATTTTTAACTGAAGATTACGTCCCTTATACAGCCATCTTAGAGCATAAATGCATCGTTGTGCAGGTTGTTAATGTTACCGATGGAGACACTTTCAGGGGAAGGTCTCTCTAAACCCTAAACCCTAAACCCTAAACCCTAAACCCTAAACCCTAAATTGAGCGGCCTCCCAGCTTCTTTTGTGTCTCATTCTTATTGCATTATATTTTGTAATACATAATAGATATAGAAATTATGTAAATAATATAAATATAAATTATATATAAATTATAAATATAAATATATAGTATATACACATTTCTTTTGTATTAAGTTACGCATATTTTCTTTGTTTTTTTGTGTATATCTTTAATATAATATATTTAACTCAACTTCTTTTTTGTGTTTATCTTTTTAGTATAATAAATTCAGTGTGCTTTGTTTTCTTTTTTATTTTCTCTGTATCTACATATATATATATATATCTATATATATACATGTATATATATATATACATGTATACGTATGCATATATATATATATATATGTTTATAGATTAGAATACATAAATAATGTACATATATATACGCATGTATATATCTATTTTATATGTATATATATATATATATGTGCTATATGTATATATACATATATATATAATATATAGATGTATATTTATATAATATATATATATATATATATATTCTTCTGTTTGTGTGTGTTCGGGTGTATAGGCACATCCCGAATGGTCATAAAGAGTTTCCTTTCCCGGTGCAGAAGAGTCATCAAAGAACTGCTTTATTTTCATATTGCTCAGCCTGGAAGGGCAAACTCAAAGGAGAGACAATTAGAATTCGGATATACGGCGTTGATGCTCCCGAGACACCCAAACTCGGCAAACCGGGGCAGCCTTTTTGTGAAGTACAGACAGCATTAAATAATATATATTATTAATATTATTATTATTAATATATTATTGTTATTATTAATATATTATTATTAGTAGTATTAGTAATAATAAGTTTATTTGATTATGTAAATAGTTTGTTAATAGATTGTTATAAATAATTTGTCTATCAACCCGGGCAGCCTTTTTGTGAAGTACAAACAGCATTAAATAATATATATTATTAATATTATTATTATTAATATATTATTGTTATTAGTAGTAGTAGTACTAGTAATATTAAGTTTATTTGATTATGTAAATAGTTTGTTAGTAGATTATTATAAATAATTTGCTTATTATTATTATTATCATAAACATTAGGTTAATATATTTATATAAACATTAAGTTAATATATTATTATAAACAATTTGTTAATATATTAACATTATTATAAACAATAAATTAATATATTATTAGAATAATAAACATTAAGTTAGTAGATTGTTATAATTGTAAACAATAAGTTAATATATTCACATTATTAAACAGAGATAAAAAGTTTAATATAAACAATAGTTTAATAGATTAATATAAGCAATAATTTATTATATTAATATTAACAAGAATTTAATAGATTAATATTAAACAGAATTTAAAAGCTTAATGTAGAAGAGAAAGCAGACAAACATACACCAGAAAGGAGACAAACATACACCAGAAAGGAGACAGTCTCTTCTCTATTCTTTATTATTATTTTTTATTCTTTATTGTTAATTGTTGATTCCTAGCAGTTTATTATTTAGAGTTTATTATTTAGAGTTTATTTTATATTTTTCTTTGTTTTTTGCTCTTCTTTATTATTAATTATTATTTATTAAATATTATTTTTTGTTGTTTAATCTGTCTTTATTATTTATTTTTTTATTATTTGTTCTGTCTTTAATATTTCTGATTATTCTTTTTCTTAATACAATATAATTATTATTATTATTATTGTTATTATTATTGTTTGTATTATTATTATTAGTATTATTGTTTGTATTATTATTATTATTATTATTTTTGCTTGTATTATTATTATTATTACTATTACTATTATTATTGTTTGTATTGTTATTATTATTATTAGTATTATTATTATTATTATTGTTTTGTTTATGTTTACAGGAGGCAACACGATTAGCAAAAGAGAAGGTATTGAACCGCGTAGCTTTTATTCGTTTGCTAGCAAAAGATCAGTACGGCCGCCTGGTGTGTCAGGTGTTAGTACCGTGCAGCTCTTTAGGAGGAGTTGCGAGTTTAAAGAGTGCAGCATCAATGAAAGCTGCTGCTGCTGCTGCTGCTGCTTCTTCTTCTACCTTCTCTCCTTTTAATCTATTTCGCAGCTGCTTCTGTTATCAAACACCTAAAAATACTCTGTCAAAGAAAGAAAGAGAGGCCTGGTGTGAAGATATCTCGCAGTCTCTTCTTCTTGCTGGACTCGCAACCATATACACGTCAGTCTATATTGCATGCATCCATCCATCCATGCATGCATGCATGCATGCATGCATGCAATATAGACTGAATGCATGCATGCATGCTGCTGCTGTTGCTGCTGTTGCTGCTGGTTTTTGATCTTGCATTCTTGCGTTGCTGCTGTTGATTTGAGCTTTCTCTGTTGGGTTGTGGTGTGTCTGCGGTGTACATGCAGCTATTTAATTTAAATACGGGTGTTTCTGGGGTGTATAGGCAGCTGCTTAATTGGTTGTTGTGTTTGGAGTGTATAGGCAGCTCTTTCATTTTGTTTGTTTCTTTGTTTGCTAATGCACAGCTTCTGGTTGTGTCTTTGCTCTGCTTATATGTTTATTAATTGATGCTTTTGTTTTATTTCTTCGTTTATTAATGTTTGTTTAGGTTGTTTATATGCCTTGTCTCCTTTGTCTCCTCGTTAAGAGGGTTTGCTGCAGCAATGCATGCATGCATGCATGTTGTTTGCTGCTGTTTACTTGCATTTAATTCCCTAGCGCTGCATGCACTAGGGTTTAGGGTTTAGGGTTTAGGGTTTAGGGTTTAGGGTTTAGGGTTTGTGTGTATAGGGGTCAGAATGCTCAATACAACGGGTTGTTAGAGAGGCTGGAGGCGCTGCAGCGCGAAGCAAAGGAGCAGCAAGTGGGTTTATTTTCTTTATCTTCTTCTGTCTTGGAGACGCCTGGCGAGTATAAGAGAAGGTTAAGAGAGGGGTCGCCGTTTAATCAAAAACAAAATGCAGCCAATACAGCAGAGCAGCAGCAAGAAGAGACACGCAGACACCCCAATACAACCAGGGTCTCCTCACCCACTCCGAACAGAAACAAAGATTTCACAGCGAAGCACCAGCAGCAGCAGCAGCAGCAGCAGCACCATCAGCAGCCGCACCATCTACAGCCGCACCATCTACAGCCGCACCATCTGCAGCATGAGCAGCAGCAGCAGCAGCAGCAGCAGCAGCAGCAAGGAGAGACAGGGGGAGAGCGAAGTAGAGGCAGACAGACTGCCAGACAAAGAAAAAGAAGTAAATCAAGAAGCCGCAGCGCTAGGAGACGAAAAGCAGCAGAACGTGCAGCAGCAGCAGCAGGAGCAGCAGCGGGAGCTGCAGCAGGGGCTGCAGCAGGAGCAGCAGCAGCAACAGCAGCATCAGCAGCAGAGACAGTGGAGACACGCCGTGGTGGCGCGGATAGGAATGCTGTTGCTGCTGCTGCAGGGGGTATAGCAGGAGCAGCAGCAAAAGCAGGTGCAGCAGCAGCAGCAGCAGCAGGAACAGCAGCAAACAACCGCAAAGTGCGGCCAATGAAAAAAGAAGCAAATGGGGTGTCTCCTCAGCTGCAGCCAAAGACAAGAGCCTTTTATGTTAACGGTTCTGCTGCAGCAATAGAGGGTAAGAGAGAAAGAAAGGCAGCAGAAGTAGCTGCAGCTACACCTCACCACAAGTCTGTTAGCTTCTCAAGACCAGCTGTCTCCAAAGTACCCCAGGGCAACAACAGCAGCAACAGCAAGAGCAGCAGCAGCAGCAGCAGCAGCAGCAGCCCTAAGACGCTACCGACAAAGTTAGTAATAGAAGTAGATGGTGACATCAGCGGCTCAGAGCCCTATGGAGACTCAGACAGCGAATAAGCTAGCAGCAAATAACTCTTTTACACCCCACGCATGCAATCAATGCAAGCTTCCTGCTGCTGCAGCCTTCCTGCTGCAGCAGCTGCCTTGCTGCAGCAACCTTCCTGCTGCAGCAGCTGCCTTGCTTCTCCTGCTGTCTTGCTGCTGCAGCAGCCTTAGTGCAACTTGCTGCTACTGCAGCCTTCCTGCTGCAGCAACCGTGCTGCTGCAGAAACATTGCTGCTGCTGCTGCAGCGACCTCCCTGCTGCTGCAACATCGCTGCTGCTGCAATATCGTTGCTGCTGCAACATCGCTGCTGCTGCAGCCTTGCTGCTGCTGCAAACTATCGTTTGCGCAGCAAGAGCAGCAACAGCAGCAGCAACAGCAGCAGCAACAGCAGCAGCAACAGCAGCAGCAGCTAGGGAGACACCTAAGTGAGGAGAGGTGTGGATAAAAGGAAGGAGACAAAAGACTCACCGGGAGTAAATCAGAAGAGAGAAACAGAGACAGAGACAGACCTCAACATACACCTGAATGCATCGTGCAGTGTACAGTGTCTCCGCTGTCTCTTAGTCTCTAAATACAAAGCGAAAAAATAAAAAGCAAAGATGAAAAGAGACAGAAGATATAAAATAGAAGAGACAAAATAAACAAACACATCAAAAAGTCGAAGAGAGACAGACAAATAAATAAATAGGAGACAGAATAAAGGGACAGACAGAGGCAGAGACAGAGACAGAGACAGAGACAGAAAAAGTAATAGAGAAAGGAGGGAGAAGAGATAAAAGAAAGAGACAGAGAGACAGAGACAGACAGAGACAGAGACAGCAGAGTTATGTGTATGATGTTTAATTATTGTTTCATAGTTGAGGTGTCTCTGTTGTATTTTTCTTTAATTATAATTAAATTATATATTTTCTTCTCTGTGCAAAGACAGAAGAAGAGTAGATGGAGACAACTGTCTCCTTTTGTTAAGTCATAGGCCACCCAGGCATCTACATTCTGTTGTTGCTGTTGCTGCTGCTGCTGCTGCTGCTGCTGCTGCTAGCATGCTCTACGGTGGACGTTGGGGCTCCTTGCACTGCAGATAAATCAGCAGCCGCAGCAACTGCAGCAGCAGCAACAGCAGCATCACCACCACCACCAGCAGCTACAGCAGCAACAACAGCAAAACAGAACCAGCAGCAGCAGCAGCAGCAGCAGCAGAGGGAAGGCGCATCCCTATTTGGGTGTATTTTGATGTCTTATGCGAATCAGCAGCAGCAACTTTGAAATTATTTTTGTTTTGTTTTTGTCTTAATTTTTGTTTGTTTGTTTGTTTTGTCGCCGGGCAGCAAAAGAGAAAACACGCTGTTATTTATTTACTTATTGAGGTGTACATACACCTCAACGTGTGGGGTGTACATACAGTAGATGTGTGGGGTGTATATAAGTAGAGGAGACAGTTGATTGAGGTGCACATACACCTCAAGGTGTGGGGTGTATATAAGTAGAGGAGACAGTTGATTGAGGTGTACGTACACCCCAGCCACCGCAGAGGAAATGAACCCAGTAGAAAGATAATTTTATTTAATTTAATGCAAAGGCCTAACTAAGAGACAGAAACAACAAAAAGAGACGAAAAACAAAGAGACAGACAAAGAGACAGAGACAGCAACAAACAAAGAGAGACAAAATAAAGAGACAGAGAGAGAGAGAGAGAGAGAAACAAAGAGAGAGGCAAAGGGTTGCTGCTGTCTCTGCTGCAATTAATTCATCGGTCTCAGTGCAGCAGCGGCAGCAGAGGAGACAGAAGCAGCAAAATAAAGAGACAGAGAGAGACAGAGATAGACAGATAGAGAGAGAGGAGACAAAGGAGACAGCACACGAAGGGGTTGGGGGTTTATTGCTTTTGCTGCAGCTGTCTCTCCTTTTCCTAAACCCTAAACCCTAAAATACAAAACACAAACCCTCAAACTGTTGAATTCTTGCTCTACACCAGAGAGACACACAAAGAATTGCTGTTGCTGCTGCTGCTGCTGTTGCTGCTGCTGCTGCTGCTGCTGCTGCTGCTGCTGCGATGGGGTAGTTGGCAGCTGGCGTTGCTGAGTGCCGCACACAAGGGTTTAGGGTTTAGGGTTTAGGGTTTAGGGTTTGCTGTTGTTTGCTCTCCCGCCGCCAGCATGCGGCTGTCGAGTATGATTCTTGTCTATGTTTATTACTATCATTATTTGTGTCTGTCTTTATTATTATCTTAATTACCTTAAACCCTAAACCCTAAACCCTAAACCCTAAACCCTAAATAGCTCTGAATATTGTCTTTTTCTGTATTGCAGTTATTTTTCTTTTTATTATTACAACTTGTGTATTTTCTTTACTCTCTTTGTCTGCCTGTCTATACTATTATTATTATTATTATTATATATTTTTATTATCATTGATTATTTATTTATTTATTTATTTATTATTTATAAGTATTTATTAGTATTAACTATTATTATTAGTATTCTCTGTCTGTCTTTTTACTGTAATCTCAATTACTATTTCTTCATAATCATTGTATACACACCCATAATAAATATAAACCTAATAGTAATAATAACAATAATAACAATAATAACAATAACAATAATATATTTATAATTAAAATAAATATATTTTATTACTTTTTACTTTAGAAGCCGAAGGTTGAGTACGTTGTGCCGATCTTGTCGTTGGCTTCGCTCGGTTTTTTTACCCTGAAACAAACAAATAAACAAAAATATTTAGGGTTTAGGGTTATTGAGGGTTTAGGGTTTAGGGTTATTTGGGGTTTAGACGTATTTAGGGTTTATATTTAGGGTTTAGGGTTTAGGACTATTTAGGGCTATTTAGGGTTATTTAGGGTTATTTAGAGTTATATAGAGCTATTTATGGTTTAGGGTTATTTAGAATTATTTAGGGTTTAGGGTTATTTACAGTGATTTGGGGATTAGAGTTATTGAGAGTTATTTAGGGTTTAGCGTTAAGGGTTTAGGGTTTAGGGTTTAGGGTTTAGGGTTTAGGGTTTGAGTACCCCCCGATGATTTTGGCTTCATGACGCCCGGCCATAGTCCACCCGTGACTTTCTCTCGCGGTATTTGGGTTGTAGGACCCTGCATGCATTTGCATGCATGCGCATACATTGCATGCAATCTCATTCTTTTGGGGCTGCATGCGTGCACATTGAATGCATGCATTTGCATGCATGCGCATTTTTTCCATACAGTCTCATTCTTTTGGGGCTGCATGCATTTGCATGCATGCATTCGTTTAAAGGATGCATGCATGCAAATGCATCAACTGGTTCAATGCATGCTTCATTCAAAAACATGCATGCATGCATGCATGCAAATACATGCAAATACATGCAAATGCATGCATGCATACACGGCAGAATGGATGCATTTATGTAAATGCATGCATGCATGTTGGGGTGTACGTACAGCTGAGTAGACTTACCGGGTCCAGGGGTATTGTTGGTAGTGAGAATATTTCCTCGAGCAGACGACCCAAAAGACCACTTTGGAGACCCATTGCTCAGTGCAGGCGCGTAAGTGCACGGGCCTGCAGCAGCAGCAGCAGCAGCAGCAGCAACAGCAGCAGCAGGGCAAGCAGCAGCAGCATGAGTAGCAAGGGCAACAGCGGCAGAAGAAGAAGCAGCAGCAGCAGAAGAAATATAGCAGTAATACCGGCAAAAATCGCAGCAGCAGTAATAGAACCAGCAGCAGGAACAGTAGCAGCAGAAGCAACAGCAACAGCAGCAGCAACAGCAGCAGCAACAGCAACAGTATTCGTATGTGTTGTTGTGATATGTTCGTAAAGGATATTATTTGGGGCTGTGTAATGCATGCAGCAGACCGAGACTGTTTCCTCTCCTTTATATATATATATATATATATATTTAATAGACAAATTAATATTATTTAATTAAAAATAATCCAGAGACATGCAAAACTACCTGGCGAGTCAGAGGTTGCAGCTGTCCCCTTCGTCGGCCTCCCGCCCATAGAATATCTGCGGTGTACATACACCTCAAATATTATTTTATATGCATATCAAAACAACTCAGAGATCCTGCTCTACTAGCTGCTGCTGCTCCTGCTGCTGCTGCAGATAATGCAGCAGCAGCAACAACAACAACAAAAAAGACAACGCTTTCAGCAGCAGCAGATAGTGCAGCAGAAGCAGCAGTAGCAGCAGGTACTGACATAACAGCAGATATTGGATTAGCAGCAGATAGTACAGTAGCAGCAGCAACAGCAACAGCAGCAGCAGCAGCACCAGAAGCAGCACCAGCAGCACCAGCAGCGCCACCACCACCACCAGCACCACCAGCAGCAGCAGCAACAACAACAACAACAACAGCAGCAGCAGCAGCAGCAGCAGTAAAGACCTTACTTGATTCCTTGACCAAAGGTAGTTGCTAGGCTGTATGTGCCTGGGGCTGGCGTGTCTTTAACTTCTGTTTGCTGTCTCATCTTCGCCTCCCCCCCAAAGCTAAGGAGACAGTAAAACAAATTAATAAATAATATAAAGATATTTAAACAAATAAATAAATAAAATAAAGATTTAAACAAATAAATAAATAAATAAATAAATAATATTTAAACAAACAAATAAATAAATAAAGATATTTAAGAAAAAGAAACAGCAAAGAGCCAGCAGTAGAGAAAGACACAGAAGAGACAAAAAGCGGAGACAGTTAAAAAAAGAATAAATATAACAAACAAACAAACAAACAAACAAACAAACAAACAAATAAACAAACAAACAAACAAATAAATAAATAAACAAACAAACAAACAAATAAACAAGTATAAATATATAAATATATATATATATATATATATATATATACCTCCAAGCCG